CCCTTGTGTCCCGGAACCCATATTAATCTGATTAAAATTATATAAGTTAGGACCAGAAATCGAAACGTGCGTGATAAATACGAATCATTATTGGAAACGAGCGCCGAACACAACGATAACGAATTGGTAACTATGGCCACACTTGAGGCTGGTGGACTGAGCTCTCTTAATGTCCTAATCACCGCCACGAATTCTGCCTAAAACACAGACAAGAAATCGGGAAGTCTTTATTAAAAGCACCTCATGAAGGTCTTGGAGAAAATGTCAATGCAAGATTTCGTGATCGATGTGCTAGTTTCAGCAAACGAATATTTATTGGGGTTGACATCCTCCGTAGACAGTTGACATGTGGTCTCTCGGAAGAACAACGAACATGAGACGCAGAGAAATTGGGCAGCTTTATGATGACCGTCCTTGCGAGCCATCGTGAACGCTTCAAGTTTTTGACGTTCTACCGTGGAGAGCTGAATAAAAAAGAAATATATAAAATTGATCCACAAAAGGCAATACATTGAGATAACTATTTAGTCATTAGAATTCATTTCCAGCTTTTTCCTTTTCTGACCTTTCTCTGTCTTCACTATAGGTTTCCTCTGCTGCCATCTTGCGCCAAATTCGTAAAGAGTGATTGCGAAGTAACTTTTCAGGAAGTCAACTGCGCGGTGTACGAGAAAACCGGCTGGAATAATACTATAGCTACTGATCTGCAAGCAGATTGCTGGGAGCTGTCAGGCGGGTTCCACACGCCTGCAACGGTTCTGCAGGTTAGAGGTCGGCTCTCGAGGGAATCGAGTCAGAGTGGTATATACACAGCCACGATGACGTCTTGGTTGAGTTGCCTACGCGCGGCAGTGCAAGTTACGATTCTATTCACTGCGCGTATAGATAGCCACTAAACGATGATGGTGGTGAGGTTTGATATTAGGCTCAGATAACCGAGTCCCGATGCCATGTGGAAACAAGTGCGATCCATTCGGAATGCCGGACGAGCTTTGGTCGTTATTCGTCTTATCAAGCAGGAAGAGTCTCCCTCTCACCTTCACGGCGGTCATACGTAAAAAAATAGGCAGCCTGCCATGCATGTGTGCGCGTGTGCTCCGAATCTACGCTCAAGGTTTCATTGTATTTCTTTTTTTCTTCTTTTTTCTCCATGCTAGAGAGTTTTATGTGAGTCCACCAAGCATGAATTTTTTCTTCCTTGCTGGATCGTTTTTTATGCGGGAAATGTGGGTATCTCGTGAAAACTTGCGGCGCACAAAAGAGACACGGATTAAGAAAGCCGATAGCGCATCGTCCCGTCGTCTTTCTTAGTTCGCATGTCCCCACCGACAAGCACGTTCTTCCATCCCGCGAAATGGAGTATGCGCATCAAAAGTAGCAGCTTACCTGAGAGGCAAAAGGGAGAAATGTTTGGGCCTTATAAGTTTACCGTATAGCACAGCTATTGGTCTAACTAGATCATTCAGGTTTGACTTTGAATATCAAAACAATTGTTATGCACCAACTTATTTATTTATTTGTTTATTTATTTATTTGATTCGAGTAGATGAAGAACGCAAATACAGAGGAAATATACAGGGAACAGGCTGACTACCTGAACCGGGTTGCAACCGAGCAAGTATTTTCATGCACCAGAAGTGCTGGATATTCAACGGTGCTTTTTGAGAAAATCCACCCGAATAAAATATAATCGTCAGCATCAAACCTGAAAAAAACCTTCTTATTTCTTTTTTAAGGGGGCTCGTTTCTGTCAATTCAATTTACCTTCTCTTGGGTCACTTCTTTTTGTAAATTTTATTTTACAGTGTCCGATATTGAAGATTCTCTGTAGCTTATGGCATTGGCGTTCATGTTGTTTTCCTCCTCAACCCGTGTTCCTGGCAAGATTTTCAAACCTATATGTTTTCTGGCGTAATTTTCTTGGTTCGAGGACAGTGTTCTTGTCTGTCCTCTTTTTGCACGTTGACAGCTCAGCGTACAAGGTGCAGCCAACCTTTCGGCAAGGGTCACGTTCATACGTTGTGACAAAGGTCATAGGGCTTGATTATGACAAAATATTATGAATCAATCAATAATTTAGGTTATAAAATTCCCAATAGCGGATGCAATGTACCGCATGCAGTACCGATCATATGACATTAAGCTGACGAAAGTTAATAGACTTTTTTTTTTGCGATATCGTACTGCTAACATGTAACCATCATTCCCTGAAGAGACACCGGAACTTTACGCACAAAAGCAGCCCCAAGGCCCAGCGCAGAAAGAGAAGTCAATGACTTGCGAAATGCGCGAATGGAGGACAATGTCCTTAAAGACTCGTAGATACCGACTACAGTTAGACCAAGGTAGGAAAGGAGCAAGCGATTTATCAAAATGAAAGTGCTCGATCACAATCGCTGCCTAACATGCGCAGGGTCATGACGCTGCGGTCAGCCTTGCACCTGACGGAGTATATAGAGAACGAAGACAGATCGGCGGTCTCCTCCACCAATGAATACCACGAAGAAAGTCGTTGAACGCGAGATGCTCTGCAACGGTGCATGGTCCGTTACGCATTGCTCGGTGCTAGTGATCGTTTTACGTACGCCTTCTTCGAGGGCTGTATAGCCGAGAACGGAAAGCTCCACGAGTTCGCTTGCGCGTGGTGCAAGGAGAGTCTTGACACTCGCTTACAGCGCCAACCGTGTTGTCGGAAGACCCGTGATTATACTGAACTCCGTTGCGACACGCTTCAACAGAAGTGGTGAATGGGAGAGAGAAAGACAAATGTCTGTTTTTTGTTTATCACCACTAACAAGCACACGCGCACTCAGTCACCGCCAAAGCACCGATTACAGGTGGTTAACAAAATAAGCTCGAAGGTGCGGCTCCTAATCGGTGTTCACCGCCAGTGTGTTCGCTTGGTAACATTTAGTTGTGAGTATAGCGGGATTCGCACAAATTATGTGGTACATGCGCGCTGTATAGAGGCTCTGCAAGAAACCTGTCTGATCGAGGAGTCAAAAAGATGGAAGGTGAGACAACACACAGCTAAAAGGAGAAGCCGAGAAAGATCTATAGAAAAAGGGAAAGAAAGAAAGGGTACAAAGCGGAAAAGATCGAAATACGGAGAACCAAACACATGTAGAGAGAAAGAAATGAGAACAAGAAGGCAAGCATAGGCATGACTAATATAATAGTATATGGTATTGCATGTAGTATAGTATGTTGTAATATAATTAGGGTTGGAAATGAGACAGGCAAGATGGTCAGAGCCTAGCCAAGTCAGGACTGAGCCAGGTGCCCACCAGCTCTGCTGTGACCAAGCCTTGAGCGACGTAGTGGCAAGCTGCGCTGGTTTTTCTTTTTCAGGGGGGTCAAGATCCCAGTCACTCTTTTGACCCCTTGCTGGTCAAGGGAGTGTCTGGAAACGACGAAACAACAAACTCCGTGTCGACACGACAGCGCCTGCTTGTACGGAACTGTACAGCACTTATAACGTTCGATTCTTTTGAACGGACATCTAATAAAAGCAAAGCGCGTAGCGTTCACGTTTATCAAAAGCGACGATAATGTCGATCTATACAGCCGAGAATGAAATAATAACAATAAAAAAATAAGCCATGCGGCCTTGGCAACCACAATTTCGGTATGATCAGGAGGCACGTCACGCTGTGGTTTCCGGACCAACTTCGGCTACTTGGGGTTCTTTAACAGTCACGTATATCTGCAAAGCTTTTTTCTGGCTCTAGATCAAGTAGATGCGCATTTCACCGACAATAGGGAGTTTTAGAATACCGTTTGCTAGCGCTGCGGGCGTTGCGGGCGAAGCTGGTGCCATGAGAGTTTTAGAATGGTGTTTGCCCTGCTGCGAACCGCAACGCACGATCGCAGCGACACTGTAGCCTCGAAACCAGCGCTTGCGGGCCGCCATCACCGCACGCAATTTCGGATTTTCTGCGTGCGGTCCGCGAACGCCGACTCGCGCTACGACGCATGCGCAGTGGCAGCGACCGCACCGCAAGGGCTCGCGGTGCGCTATTCTAAAACTTTCTAATAACGCAGTCGCCTTGTCTGAAAATCGAACTTGGCTGCATTCGCCTTGTCTGAAAATTGAACTTGGCCGCTCCCAAGTTTAGCAGTGGGACGGCCAAGCCGCTAAGCACCATGAATGAAATAATCACCGCCCATACAACCCAACACGTCGTGACTGCAAAAGAATTTATGAGCGAAGCTGTAACGTGAGGCCCGGTGTTCACCACGAACTGGAATCTATCGAAGTGTCTTCCGTTGTATAGTGTTTCATTCCGCCTCACATTATAAAATACACGTGCTCGAAACAAGCTTGCTTTGGGAGACGTTAGCTTAAAGTGAATTAGGAACCCTTGAAGGATTTCATGGCCAGCAATTCATGCTGCTGGTTGGGTACTGTATGTAGCAGGGTTGCCAAGGTCCACAAAGCTGCACAGGCTCTCGTGCATCACAGCACTGGTATTCTGTCCTCGCATATTAGTTCGTGCATCTTCTCATAACACCTTCTTATCTCTTTACCCCAGTTGTTTGCTGTTATCACGCGGTAAATGTAGACCGTTATTTCTTCGAACGATTTGCGCATACAACAAAGCATAAAACTGGGTGACGATGCTATGAACTGTCTCCGTAGTCAGTTCGCTGCTCTCCGGTAACGATTGTTTGATGTATGGTGACGCGCGATTGGGCGCGACGACGTAATTGGTCAAACACTGCATCCACCGACCTCGTTGCTCTGTTTTTCTAGCGAAACGGGAAATTCGCAGAGCAGCGTTCCCTTGTTTCCGTTTCTTGCTCGCCGAAGCGCGCCTCCTCTGTGACCGAACGAACGATGTCGAAACGCGACTCCTTTTTACCCGCCACGTCTTGCCCATCGCGTCCTTGGCACTTACCGCGAAGTCCTGCCATCGAGGCTACGAGATAAAGGGGAAGAAGCGGAAGCCCTCGGACTTCCGTTTCCGCCACACGCACGCACACACTGTTACCGGCGCCGTGCGAAGAGGGCAGGGGCCAACGTGCGAGAAGGGTGTTACTGCGTCGGCTCGAACGTCACTGTTGTTGGCTGCAGCGCCTGTGTGAACGGACGCTTGAGGTCGGACGACGCGTTCTATGCCTCGGATGCCATCTAGCCGGCCCATGGGCCCAGCCGATCGTGAACCGTCGCAAGCCAGGGTACGGTAGAGACGAAGAGCGCGTGGCATACTCTATCCGGAGCCATGACGCATAGTGAGTCGGTGTTTATTACTGTTATTTTTTTACCTAGGAAACTTGCACCATGATCTATATAACGTATGCACCTATACATGGTTGTCAATGAAATAACGACGTTATTTGCTTCCTTTACGCTACTTTACACCTAACAGTTATGAGTTATGATTCTAATAGTTAGAATCAACAGTTGGGGCTTTCTTTAGGATCATTCGAGCACAAATCATGTGGGACGGCTTTCACTTATGTGACACTTACATTTATTGTTATCTTTATGCGATCATTTACTGGTGCCCTAGCCGGTCTGTTGCGGCGGATTTTACGTCTAGGCGAAATATGAATGCTCTGTACCTGGACGTTTTGGCTTCATTTTAATCGATTTGCTTTTGGGCGAGGCTGGATTTTCTCTTGAATACAAGAGTGCATAACAATATCGAACAAGAGAAAAAAATTATATAGAAAACTCAACCTTGAATAAAATCGTTGGTCTCTGCGGCCAACTAGTGGATATACAGTCGGCCACAATACTACACGGAATGCGGCAGCATGCGTCTAAATTGCCGTCTGGCGACAAGCCGTCTTCCGTGACAGCAATGCCATGGCGATTGCACGGCCGGAGTTATGCTCTCGATAACAGACGGATCGCCACTAGACGGCGCGCCGAACTGTAATTCTGGCGCGCGCTTCCGTGAGCCCGTATCATTTTGTGGCCGGCTGTACGTACGTCGAATCGTAAAACGTTTATCGGTTCTCGGTAGCCAAAGTCAATCTCGTCGTCAACTCGAACTCCGAGTGCAGACATCCGTCGCGGTCTTGCTGCTTGAAACGAAGATTTCATTTTTTTTTTTGTCGTAGGTCATGAATGAAGTCGTAGGTCGTAGGTCATGAATCCACTATAAAATTAGTATTTCAAAAAAAAACATTTATGCCCTTTCGTGATGAAATCGAGGGTTCGATGGAAACCCGTCTGTTCGGGATGAAGCATGATGGAGACGAAGTGCACCGACCAAATAAAAACTAAAAAGAAAAGACGTTTCGGCTTCCAGACGGAAGCCTTGTTCATAATCCAAGACGCCGTCTGCTTTTTTTTTCTTTTAAGCTTCGATTTGGCTGGTCCACTTCGTCTCCTCCATCACTTTTCATGATGCTTCAAAAAGTTGGCGTCGGCAGTTTTTACCCTGGAGGGTTTTTGCCCTGTCGCAGACCGAATATCTTTCGACCATTATGTACTTCAGGATGTCTGCCTGCGCGCGCAGTTATCGGCGTAACAAGGCTGGCGCGCGCTTCCTTGCATCCGTTGGCGCGAAACGACCGGGCTCAGCGCCCGCGCGAATTCTTCCCGCCAGTGCGCACGCAACCTCACGCACGGCCGCGTTGAATTTTTCTGCGCACGCGCGGGTGATAAGAGCGAAGGCTAATTAATTCGTCGCGTATAGGTGTAGCAATTTCGATATTATCAGTGCACCAAGAAAAAAAAAAAACGTGAAATGCTCTTGTGGAATCGCCAAAGCACAATACAGAAAGTGCCGATTTAAGCGCGCCACATTTTGTAGTTTTCATATTTTAGCGAACTTTCCAGTCTCCGCATTTCGTTTTCTATTTAATGAGCATGTCAGTGCGCCATTTTTCTTTGCATGTTCATTATCCTGAAATGCATGCACCCTATCATTCCTTGAGAATATTCAATAGCCTATATACATGCAAGAGTTCGTCGTAATCCCTGGAGTGCCCAAATCAAAAACGCATTTTATGAGACGCGAAATCGAAGTCGTCGATTGCGTATACGCCTGTCTCATGCGGGACCGGCTCCTATGTTCGGATACATTTTTGTTAGCGCAGTTTATTGCGCATGTCGTACACATTGCAGTTCGAAAGTTGAATTCAACTAATTCCTCAGTGGCGTCACAACGCAATTGTTGAATCAACGGTATTACGTTCAGCTTGGGTATGCAATGGTATACGACGTGTGGTGCCTCTGCGTTTTGTTCTGCAAGTTAATGTACTTGCCGAGCTCACTCGTGGCCTATCCTCTTAAGCGATTATAGCACGAGAAGTACTTTGGTTTGGGCTAGTTGGTTCATAATGCTCACATAGAAAGGGCGGCGCAAATACTCGGGAGAGAGAAGGACAGTAGAGACAGAGTGCTGGCATAGAGAGTGGCAATTATAGCAAACGGACAGATGTGTAGGGGGCGCCGAAGTGTAATATTCAATGACACTTGCACATCAAAATTTGCATACATCATTTGGGAGCACGTTAAAGAATCCCAGGCGTTCGAAATTTCGGAGCCCTCCACTACGGCGTCTCATAATCACATGGCGGTTTTGGGACGTTAAACCCCACATATCAATCAATCATTGCATACTGCATGCGCAGGCAAAGAACGAAATATACAGAAAAACGGACTCCAAGTTCTAGATATTTTAATTTGAAGAAACTGACATGAATGCCCGCGTACGAGAGATTATGAACGCCCCAAGCTAACAAGATTGCCAACATTAGTGTGCGCTGCGATGATTAAAAAAAATGTTGGCCTTTAACGTACCGAAACCACGATATGATTATATAAGGGACGCCGTGCTGGAAGGGTCCGGAAATTTCTACCACGTTGTGTTCTTTAACGTGCATCTAAAACTAAGTACAGGGGTGTCAGCATTTCGCCTCCTTTGATATACAGCCACCGTGGCTGGGATTCCATCCCGCAACCTGCTGGTTAGCAGTCTATAGCACCATGAACTACTGTACCGCCGTGTTGGGCATGCACCCAAACAAAAAGAAACACAATCATCATCGTGACGCGGACAAGAGCGCATTCGTGATTTCAAGAACACCAGTTCTTTGTCTCACGGCTCGATGAATGAGTTGTCGGCTGCTGCGGCCGCAAGATAATTCTTGTATTATTATTTAAGAGGGGATGGGGAGGTATATAACAAATTTTATTGATATTCGCGGAGATATCAGCCCGAGTTATTGCCTGGCTCGCTACTGCAGGCGTCGGGTGATGACAATGATATATACAATGATCACATACTGTAGGTGATCGGGTAGGTGACGATAATATCGTACAATGATCACATACACACAACACGTTCAATCACACGCGCATGTATAGACTATGCGGTCATTAGTAAAGTTTCGTGAAGTCGAGTGGTCCTCAATAACACCTACGGTGCTTAGCCAACGTATGCGGAAAAACTTAACGCCGCCGAATCGTGCGCAGTGGGCACAAAAAAAAAAAAACATTTCCCGTCCTTCGCTCAATTTTATGTTGCAGTCTTGTAGCTTAACATTTAGTCATCGACCTGTCTGTCCCGCACAAGGCAGACCTACATGACAAGGTTGTCGTTCAGACAATACATTTTTAATGATCTGGGTACTTCTTGCTGTGGTTAATAGCGTTACAGTTTCTTGCATCAGCCACAGGGGTCGTTTTAGCGCAAAGCTGCGAGAATTAGGTTTGCTTTTCGAAATTATATATCGCTTTAAAGTCAGCGCCCATCTTTGTCGTTCTGTCTTTTCGTCCTTGTCTACGCTGTACGCATGTTCACAATGGAATTCGAAGTAGCCTGTACACAAACCCTGCTTCCTGCAGTTTATTTACAAAGCTGCTTGCTGGGAAAACGACGCATGCCGTGTCGACGAGGTTCCCTCAATTTTACTGTTAGTTAAGCGAGTTTGTAAGGGTTCGTGATTACGTGATTAAGGGTGTCCTTTCGTTATTATTGTTGATGTCGTCTTATAGTTAAGTTCGGTATTGACGTCAAGCAATCTCCGCATTCTTCGTGGCTCAACACGTGACGATGACGCCAGTGTATACGCATTCACAGGTATATATGGCGTGCGTAGGGTTTTCCTTCATGAGGGGGCTGGGGAGGTTCATCGCAGCGTTCTCTCTCCCTATCAATGTATAGGTTAGACTTTGCGCACTCCTCTTAGGTGAAGAAACATGGGCGCCCCCTGCTTCCCTCCCCCTTTCTCATGCCCACTTCTATCTTCACAGGCATATAAAGACGCATGAGAGTTTCCGCTTAGTTTCCACGGCGTGAAGAGCGCCATGCCACGACCCATCGCCGAATTATATACTTCGGCAGGAAAAGCAGGCCGGGTAAGGCACTCGTTTGGGTCCATGTGCACCGAACGCGGTAAAGCTGTAGGCCTATCTAAAACAAGACGACGAGAATCGTGGCTCGTGCAGGCCCCTCCCTTCCTAAACCGTCGGGCGATCACGGTGTGTGGCACATTTGTGTCCGGGGCGTGCGATCAAGGTCCCTTATACTGACATTCATTTCCTATTTCCTTCGTCATAACGAGCGCGGTATATCTGTCTTTTCGCGGACGCTTGCGAAACGTAGCGGTGCCCAACGTGGAAGCGTGCGCTCTCCCGTAGCGGTCAGCCGAACAAGTGCTTTGTGAAGAGGGCAGGTCGACGGGTGCGCGTTTATTTTTAACGGTCAGCCACGCTTGGAGCGAGACGGACTCCCTCTTTGCAAGCCAGTTATGCATTTGCTTCTCTTTATCTCCACCTCCGCATTTTCGCTCGCGATCCTTGCAATCCGTACGCGCTCCAAAGGCGAAGAAACTTCATTTAGACGACCCTACAGTTCTCGACTAATGCACCTAATTTAGATTAAGTATATCGCGCTTTGAAGTCTTTCGTCCGGCCTCCTGTTCAACAGTTCGCGCTGACTTACACATGCATAGGTTTTAGTGGCATTGCAACGCCTTGTAAGCCCCGCCGTGGTGTTCTAGTGGCTACGGTACTCGGCTGCTGACCGCAGGTCGCGGGATCGAATCCCGGCGGTGGCGGCGGCAGCATTTCCGATGGAGGCGGAAATGTTGTACGTCCGTGTGCTCAGATTTGGGTGCACGTTAAAGAACCCCAGGTGGTCTAAATTTCCGGAGCCCTCCACTACGGCGTCTTTCATAATCATATGGTGGTTTTGGGACGTCAAACCCCACATATCAATCAATCAATTAATCAATCAATTATTCAACACTTATTCAAACAATTATTCAAA